CATCAATTGAACAGAAGGCTATAAAAGCATCTAAGAGACTATTTTAAATCCTTTGATTTATAGCAAAAGGCAAGAAAAATTCCTTAATTTGAGTTAACAGATATTAACTCAGCCATTTGTCTTAGATGTTTACACCAACATCATATCTGTTTTACCTGTCTTAAACTTCATCTGAGCCCTAGTATCAACTAGACACTGGGACTGATGGTCTGTTTTGTTAATATGGAAAATTTTGATCAGCAGTGTTGGTCCTGTGTGTGGAATTACAGTTCAAACTTCCTCATTAATCTGTTCATTACTATTATTGCTGCAATAACATGAAGGACTAGGTCTCAATTGGGCTAGGTACTGTGCAAAACTAGAACAAACAGTCTCTTTCCCAAAAGCTTAAAATACAAGTATTCAACAAGAGGCAGACTAAGAGAGGAGGAATGCAAGGAAATAAGACAATATTGGCAAGTATAGCAGGCAGTGGCCTCAGTGTGCCAAATTTCTCTCATTTTTTTGTAGATACTGCCTTCTAAGAAAGAATTCAAGATAGGATAATTACGTAGTTTTGTAGATGTTTATGGACAACAGGCAGAAAAGGCACAGTGCTGCATACTTGACAAGTGGAAGTTGGAGGCCAGCTTGGAGGTGTGACTTGATGTTTTGATGGAGAGTGAGAGAGAGTATAGAGTTGGGATAGGTTAAGACAAGCATATATTATGTTTAATGCAATAGAAATGGGGAAACCACTTGAAGGCTTCAAGTGATGTTGTCAAAGTGAAGGATTAGGAAAAAGATCTTTACACAGCATTCTGAATGAGTAAAAGTGGGGAAAGACTGAATTTGTCAAGACCAGGGAAATGATTGCTTCAGTAATTGGGACATGAAATGATAAGTGTTTTAGTTGAGTGGATGGATAGGAAAGGCTATATTTTAAAAGGATTAATGTGGAAATTTACGACTAAACTTAATATTATGCCCAGGTTACACAAACAAGACATTGTGCTTCCCAGTGATCAAGAAAGGATGAATCAGCTGGGGGAGTTGATTATGAGGTTTGTTTTAGCTATATTGATCTGGGAGAAGGGAAGCTGATATTTTAGTTTAGACAGAAAGAGTCGGGTCTGGGATAGAGCGATCTGAGTCATCAACAGAGAGATGATCATGTGTTTGAGGGACCAAGGACAAAGCCATAGAGAACTTCTCTCAGAAAGCTGGAAAAGGAATGATGAAGATCCTCCAAAGGATGCTCTATCGAGTTTTTAGAGAGGTAGAAAAGAACTAGAAAGAATGGTCACAAAGGCCAAGAGAAGTCTTTGGCAGCTGCTGTGAATACTGATTAAGCTGTGGGGTGGGGAAGAGAGCAAAATATAACTCTCTTTTATGTGAATGTGGATTACTGTACTTCACCGGAAGGCAAGGTAGAGAGGCACCTTAGGGCCTTTATGTACATACATTTTTGATTAATCGAGTGTTCTCTGCACTACGTCACATGCAGTTGTATAAATGGCATAGTGTACATCAGCACGCAGAGAATGGCAGTGGTGCACTTTTGAACTAAAACACCTTCAGTGTGTTTTAGTTCAGAAGCACGCTGCCAACATTTTCTCAGTGCTGACTTGTATTTTGCCATTTATACAAATGCGTGCAGCCGGCGTTGCGGCACAAACATATGTACGAATGCCCTTTAAAGACCAGTTCTTTCAGCAAGGCACAAGCTTTTATAGATGACATCCTACTGTGTCAGATGCTATGACTAAAATACCTGAGCTGTGAAGGAAGACTAGAACAATACTGATCCAGTATCCACCGATGCAACTAATCCTATCCTTGCTCTTCTGGTCAGATTTTAGTGCCACTTTGGATTTTAATTTTTTCCGATCTTAAAAGAAAGTAAAAAAAAAACCCCATTAAACATAACTTATTAATAAATGTAAATAAAATACTAGGTATTTTGGAACAAAATGTAACCGAACAGTCCTTGGTATAGTGTCTGTTATTCTCAGAATGTGGGTTTTTGTTGGGGGGGCGGAGTTGTACATCTGAGAAATTCAGACATTTTAAAGCATATTTTCTATTTGATTTGATTCTGTTTTTGTCTCATAGCTCCTTCATGCCTAGTTTGAATTTGTGGAATTACTTATTTGTAACTTTAGTTAAGATAAAAACATTTTTCTCAAATAAAGGACAGTTTCTGAATGTGTCACGTGAGATCTTGTATCTATCTACATATTGGTGTAACAACTAAAACAAATAAGGGAAATGGCTGTGCTTTACATAGTTTTGTATGCCATCTTTCTTTCTTTGATTGTTCTTAGCATTATTTTTTCTTCTTTGTTTTAGGTTTTTTCCTTTTAGTTTTCCTACAACATAAACAGTCGCAAGGAGTATGGCTTTATATATTACTTGCTTAATTTTTCCTATTTAACCGAAAAGTTATTCCCCTCATGTATAAAAATTGATTTTAAAATATTAGGAAACAGAGGACACCTGTGTTTGCAAAATGTTGTTAGAATTAGTGAGTTTGAAAAAGAAAATGTCAAACGCCAAACAAAACAGCAGCTGTTTTAAAACATGAACATATTATATCACAAGCACAGAGGTACCATGTCATTTTTAGGAAAATTTACTGGCTACAATATTTTACCCAGAATTTTATTTTAAGGACAGTGTCAAAGCTAAGAAGAATCAGAGAGTTTCTGCTCTGGTATCTAATATTAAGAATCAATATGTGACAGCTGTTCCATTCTTGAAACAAAATATGTAGCATCTATGTTAAGTGTAGAAAAAATTGTGTCAGATGCATCTCTGTTGTGACAGATAAAGGCTATATAACAGCGACTCTGATAAGTTCCCCCTGGAAAAGCTATAGCATCAGTAAAGCTCCCTCTGCTGGACATCCAACAGGCCTGCTGGTGTAGGTCTACCGTAGATTTTTAATCTTCTAGAACTCAAATGATTAGCTCTGTTTTGCATCCCTGGGTACCATCTTGGGATGCAGATCCTCCATCTAGCACCCCCTGACAACTTTTGAGACCCCCCCAGTCTGACTTTAATACCCCTGTAGCTAGTAATGTCAGTTGCTTAAACACATCCTTCCCAGAACACCAACACTATGGGCACTCTACATTCACAGTTTACCTCTCAATAGATGCGTAATTAAATTGTGTAACACAAACTGACTTTTTAAAAGGTTCCATGCCACAGATCCAAACAAAAGAATAAAATATATTAATTTTCCCTCTTTCAGTTTCTCATCACTAGTGAGAATGCTTTGGACTTTGGCCAGAAACATTTTAGCAGTCCCTTCTCCTCCTTCCCTCTTGCACATGATTTCTCCGGTGGAAGATTATGTCCCTCTCTTTAAATTTCATTTCAAGGGCCAAATCAGTTCTAAATTCTATTGGGCAAAGCCTAGTAGTCAAATTTCAACTGAATTGAGCTTAATCATTCACTGTATGTGGCTCTTCCACCAGGCAAGTATCCTCCCTCCCAGACCCATCAGTCTTGGGATTTGAATATTCCCCAAATCCATGGCAGGAATCCTGTGTGCAAGCCCCAAACCCAGAGGCCATAGGATTCAGATGCTCCCTAGTCTTGTTTGCTCCTACCCAAAAGGCTGAGGAGCAAGCCATGGGGGAAGCATGAACGTTGTCCCCTATTGCCACAAAATTGTGCAGTCGAGTTTCCTGCATTCAAGGAAGCTCTCAGGGATCAGTCTGCTTGGAGTGCAATAGACAAGTCTAAGCCTGGAGAACTGCCTTAGGGAAATCACAGGGGTTAGACTGTTCAGAGTGCAAGGGATGAGCTTCACCCTGGGAAAACCACCCCCTGGATTATTGCCAGCTATCTGCTTGTATGCTTGTAGATTCTTCTCTCTCCCTCTCTCTCTCTCTCTCAAATGTCTATAAGCAAGCTCGTTCTTTTACAACCTCCCATCCATCTCCTTTGTCATGTGACATCCAGTCAGTTTAGTTACAAAATTAAAATCCCCCACCAGGCAATCCATCACATAATTACCATTTTGCCTGGATAGACTATTTCTGAGAAGTAGCAAACTCTTGTCTTGGTATGCCTTCACTGCATAGAGGGCTTCTAAGGTTTTATAATCCTCCTTTATTAGTTCTATGTCACCATCTTTTGGTTTTCAGTCCAACTTGGGTGTGGATACAGGGAAAGTTTGGAGCCCTTTCAAAAGGGGAATTTTCAAAAGAGCAGCAGCTGTTACCTTATGCACGAAGGGGCTGAGAAGGATTCAAGTGCAGCAAACCCCTCCAACTTTTAATACTCCTTCCAGGGTTAAAGCTGGAGTGCATTTGAATTGTTCTCTGTTTGTTCGCACATAACAGTTAGAACATAGCAGCCACTGCCCTTTCTCCAAGCAGTTTGTAGGTCTGCACCTCTTGTAGTAAAGTGAAAAGGCAAATTAGGCCTCATATTCAAAATGAAGTGTGCAGACTGCTGCAGATATACACAGAATTTCCAGCATTAAAACAATTCATCAGCCATACACAAGAGTTCCCAAATTGTTACAGCAGCTGAAAATAATTATTGGAAGTTATTCAGCACATTTTATGCTCAAACCACTCTGCAAAAATAAATCCTCACAAAAGCACTATTAGGCATTGAAAGTATCTAGTTTTATCCCTATTTTATGAATACAGCAACTGAAACAGATGAGTAAAGTAATTCACTCAAAGATGCACAAAATAACAGTTAATATGCATCTTGTCAGACTGTAGCTTTGTGTTAGTTTATTACTAGATCCAAATTAGTGTTGCTTATAATAATTATAATAATAATAATAATAAAGCAGATGCACGCCATATTCAATGAACCTTTTTCATACATGTGTGTTTTTCATGGTTCTGAACTTTAATGAACTTCTCATACAAATGAAATCTGTTTTCCAGCCAGCAGTTATTCATGAACTTTTTTCATAGTGTCACTTTTCAAAATAAATATTTATTCTTTACAAACTACTTATCCATTGAAAAATTGTTCCTTTTCAGGTGAGAGTGGCAAGAATTCAGCAAATAGAGAAGGATATACTTCGTATACGACAGCTATTGCAGTCACAAGCAGCTGAAGCAGAGGTGAGCAAGCGATTTTTGGATTAGAATTTGCTTTTTCCATTATTATTAAATTTGACTAATGTTATCATTTGCCTTCTTTTGATTAGAGGTTCATTTATATTTTTTAATTAAAAAAACTAAAAAAAATAACCCACAGCATCTTAAGTGAGTGCACTGTATGTGCACTATTGTATTTTTATCATATTGATTTAATAAATTATATTGGCTTCTGACTATTGACTTAATAAACAACAAGCTGTTATGTTGCTTTAATCTACCCCAGAGACCAGCAACCTTTTACAAGCTGCAGGCCAAAACAACCTGGCTCCAGTCCAGTGCATGCCAGGCAGCTGTGTGGGGAGCTTTCCCCACACCCATGCCAGGACCAGGCAGCTGGGAGGGGAGCTGCACCCACACTGCTACCACTGCTACTCCCAGCCTTCCTGCTCCCTGGCTCTGGTGCAGGTGCAGCTTCCAGCCAGTGGGGAGCTACACTAGGGTTGGGAAGCTGTAACCTGTGTCTGCTTCTGCTACTTTTTCCTGTTCCCCAGGCACTCCTCCCTCCCCCTGCACCCACACCTGGGGTGTGGGAGAAGACTGGTAGTGTGGATACAGTTTACAGATACCTGGTGCCAGTTCAGCTCCCCACTGGCTGGAAGCTGCACCTATGCCACAGCAGGGAAGCAGAGGGCTTGGGAGAAGCAGCAGTAGTTCAAGTTGAGCTCCCACCTGTCTGGCCCTAGTGTGGACATAAGTACCCCCTGCACACACACCACCCTCCCCGCCCTCCCTCCCACACTTGCTGCTGATGCACCACCGCAGATACCTGGTGCACATTGGATCAAACATGGGAGGGCAGGGAGAAGCGGCAGCAGTTGCGACATAGATCCTTGCTGTCAGCTCTGGCATGGGCACAGGCAGAGCCCTTAAGGTTCATAGCCAGATTCAGCCCACAGGTTTAATGTTGCTGATCCCTGATCTACAGAATGGATACTTCTTGCTTTAAAAAAATTGTGGCTTTATGAATTAGTTGTTGGAAGATGTAATTATAGCCTCTAACTTCCTAGAATGTATAGTTCAGGTACATAGGCAGACAAGGTTCCTTGGGTGAATTTGATATCTTTTATTAGACCAACCCAAATAGTTGGAGAATATTTATCTAGTTCAGGTACATGTTTTCTTTTTAGTGAGCTGAAGCTAGAGATACTAGACTGTTGTCTATGCCTCTACTTTGTTATTGAGCCAGGGAACAACCTGGGAATAATGTGTTGCTTGAAAACCTAACTTCTAGGATGTTTGAAGAGACAAAACTGCAGTACCTTACAAAGGGGGTGAATTATATTTAAGAAATAATTGTAATAGCTAATAGCAAAGTCTTTCTAAATTAAAGGATCTGGTGAGGAGTTGCATGGTTGGTTGATCTTTTGAAAAAGCATGTGAGCAAAGGGTGAAAACTTAGCCTTTTGTGTCAGATTTTATGTTAGAAACCTAGAAAGAGATTACAGTCTAATGTCATTTCTATGGTGTCATGTGCCAAAGTCTGTTATTGCAGTTACCAGTAACAACCACTACAGTCAAGGTTGCTAATTAGAGTTCATTATGATCCCATTTTTGCAAAATTTCACAAAAGCTGAAGCTTTTCATGGCTAGTGTATGTCCAAGGATGATATTTTTAAAATATAGGGTTTTTTTATTTACTAAAAGATGAAAGCTGTATTTTTTCCATTGTGATTCTTTCAGGGGATAACTAATTTAACAGAACCTTTCAATCTGACATTATAGATGGATCTGGTAGGAATTATTATAATTAAGTTTGTTTGACCTTTTGTCATATGTTAGCTATTCCAGCTGAAATTTTCTCTGTTTGTTTGTAGGCCTTATAATACATTTTAAAAAAAGAAAAGTTTCAATAAAAGAAAAATTCTTTTAAATTTGGAGGAAAAAATAGTTGCTTTTGCAAATATGTGGTATACCCTGTCATCCCTACAATTTTATTAAATGCTAAGAAACCAGGAACTTAAAATTTGGCAGACTTATGATCTGGGATCCTTTTTGCTGTCCCAGATAAAATTTTGCCAGATATAGATTTTAATAAGCTTCAGAAAATCATGATAGGCTTGCACATGCATAATAAAATTTGTTACAAGCTTGTTGATAAAAACTTCCAAATATATTGACTCCACTGTGTACTTCAGCTCTACAGAGCTGTATTCTCAGCAGCTGTTGTGTGTTTGCATCTAACCTCCCACTAAATCTCTTGTATCTTAAAGGCAGAGCCAGGAATTGACAAAGAAGAGTTAGGGTATCCATAGAGAAAGGTGTACTGCAACAGAAGTCAGGAGGAGATAACCTTGAGTTTTAGTTTTGTAATCCCTCACAAAACTGGGAGGGATTGCAAACACTTTGGAGGACAGGATTATGATACAAGAGGATCTTGATAAATTGAAGAACTGAACTGTAGATAAATGGAAGATGCTAAGTCATCGCTGGCAATCAGTCAGTTTGAGCATGGTCTCTGCCATGGCTCACTGTTGGGTCTTGAGAGAGGCTGTAGACTGGGATTCCTCTCCTTCTCCTTCCTTCACTCCATCTTTTCTGCTTCAAGGGAAAGAAAGATGCCTTACCTTGAAATGGCTGCCCCTTGGTTGAGGTTCTAGTGCCATTGAAATTGGTTAGCAGCCAGCTTCTCCCAGCTCTCGATGTTGCTTGGCATCTGTTTTTTTAAGGTAAAAAGTAAGGTGTTACACCTGAGGAAGAAAAAACAAATGAAAAATAAAGGTTACTGGTTATGGATTAGCACTGCCATGAAGGATTGGGGGTAAAATGGATCAGGGGCTCAGCATGAGTCAGCAATGTTATGCAATCAGGAAAAAAAAGAAATGCAATTTTGTGTTCTATGAACAAAAATATGATATGGGAGACGTACAGTGCTATGCAAGGCACTGGTATGTGTGCTTGTCCCTCTGCTCTACCCATGCCAAGTTAAGATGTTCTTGGTGTTTTGGAGTGTTGTGCCTCTGTGTGACAGAGTTGTTTGTTCAGTTTTAAGAATAGGTTAAACGAGCACTTTTCTAGGATTCCTTACATAGGGATGATCCTTGCCTTGAGCAGGAGATTGGACTAGGTGACCTCATGAGGGCTCTTCTGTCCCTGCTTCAGTGATTCTTTGATGATGCTAGTTGTTCAGTAGACCTCACTACCACTCTACTAGTTGTTCAGTAGACCTCATCTGGGATGTTATATGAATTTTGGTGCACCACATTTTAAGAAAGATGTAAGAGCAGGGGTGCTCAAACTCTAGCCTGTGGGCCAAATGCATGCATCTGGCCTGTGGGTCCTTCTATGGGTTGGGAAATTTGGTGGCAGGGAGCAGTTTCTTTTAATACTGTCCCATCCCCACTACAGATTCCTACACCTCCTTCTCCCCGTGTGGCTGAGTCAAGGCTGGGCCACACCCCCTTCTCCCTGCATGGCTTGAATTGGGACCAGGCTGCTCCCCCTTCTCCCTGTGCTGCTGAATCGAGGCCAGGCTACTTTCCACCCCACTCTGCATGACCAAATGGGATTCTGCTGTGCCTGCACCAGGGTGCTGAATTGGGCCAACTGGCTGGATCAGGCTCAGGGACAGACTGGACACTGCCCATCCAGCCTGCTAGAGAAAAAGTTTGAGCACCACGGATATAGAGGAACTGAAGTCTGTCCACTGCTCAGCCCAGCCCTGACTGTAACAGAGCAGGGTGGCACATGATGCAGCCATCTCTCTTCAGGCTTTCAGCAGCGGCTGGCAGACCAGCGAGCTGGATAGGATCAGTTGGTGGACTGGATATTGTCCACCTCTGCTGTAGAGGATAATAACCTCTTGATGCCACCACTTTTATTTATTTGATTTATATGACACCCTTTCCAACAAAGCTCTTTACTTAAATGTATACTTAGGATTTAAAGGTGTGGACACACAAGTTCCTTTGAGTAAGCTGGGGCATGAACTTAGAATCATTGTCAGCAATTCCATGATTCTAGGGTGATCTCTACCATGGCTCATTGATAGGTAGTTAGAATCGTAAGTTTGAAAGGGATTTCGAGGGCATCTGGTCCAACCTCTGCAGCACAAATGCAGGGATGCTCTTCCTAAGAAATCCCCATCAAGTGTTTATCCAGCCTCCTCTTGAAAGCCTCCAGTGAAGAAGGTTCCACAACTTCCCTGGGCAGTCATCACTGCCTCATTGTTTTAATGGTAAGAAAGTTTTTACTGAGATCTTTAAATCTTCTTTACTGACATTTAAAACCACTGTTTTGTGCCCTGCTGTCTGTAACACAGGAGGCCTCTTCTTTATGACAATCTTTTGGATATTTGAAAATTGCTATCAAGTCCCCTCCCCCTCAATCACCTTTTCTCCAAATTAAACATTCCTAGCACTCTCAGCCTCTCCTCATATGTGCTTTCTGCCCCCTTTATCATTTTTGGCTTTTGCCTCTGAACCCTCTCGGCATCTCCATGTCCTTTTTATAATATGGAGCTCAGAACTGCAAAAAGGACTCTAGCTGAGGCTCAGCTGTGTCAAGTAGTGTTGGTGTCACTTCTCATGTCTTACACCCAATGCTGCTTCACTTTTTTTTGCCAGTGCTTCACATAGCTGACTCATATTGAGTCTGTGACCTAATAAAACCCCCAAATCCTTCTCAGCAATGCTGCTAATCTGTCTGTTATCTCCCATGCTACATTTGTGCATTTGGTTATTTCTCCCTAAGTGTGCAGTACCTTCTATTTGTGCACATTGAACTTTATTCTTTTGTCTCTAGCACAGCTCTATAATCTATCAAGATCCTTTTGAATTCTACTCCTGTCCTCCAGAGTGTTTCGAGTCCTTCCAGATTTCATGTTGTCTGCAGACTGGATTGGGAGGTTCTTTATTCCAGCATTTAAAACATTAATAAACATGTTAAACAGCACCAGACCCAGGACAGATCCCCTGTGGAACCCTTCTGACATTGATCCATTTATAATTAACCTGTTCTTGCAG